GAATTCAGAATTATGATTCAGAATTATTTTCAGTTTACGTGTGTTTTTTATGAGAAAAAATATTATAAAAAATCACAAATCATAATTCAAATTATGATCCGAATCTACTAAACTAAACGCATACTTTAATCTCGTAGAAAATCTCTTTAACTTTAAATTTGAAAATAAGGGATAAATTATAATTAGAAAGTGTCGGTAGATAGCTTTGGAGACTACATTCTACTGTAGTTCTAGGAGTTCATATCATAATATGATGTTATTCTGTACGTTTGCTACTTGCGAGATTGAAGTTGCACAAAATTATAAAAACAAAGTCGTTATGCGGACATTAGGTAGAATAATAAAATCCGAATCTAATGTCGTTTCTATTTCTGCTTATATCACAAGCTGATATCCTTATGTAGCACAGAGACTTGCCTTTCAGTAAAAGTCGATTAAAAAGTGGACATTGTGATTTTTTTATTTTTATTATTATTATTATTACGTTAAGAATGGGAGACATGACGATCTAATAGCAATTACTTGTGTGAGATGCTTGAGCGAGACTAATTAACCTAAATTTTTAAAAAAATTTATCCTTTTTTTTTTTTGGTAGAAAAGCATTGCAATAAACACCTACCAACCAAATGGCAACTGTCGATCAAAGGTGAAGTCATTTCAACTTAAATGATTTAGAATCAATCTTACCATCTTCCAGCAAATAAAATTCTACCTTCATCCAAAACTTTAGTGGATATTCCTTTCCAATTAAAAAAAAAAGAGAGAGAACGCCTTTTAAGGATATGAGGAAAATGTGTAATTAATCCACCAACCGAAAAAAAGATCTCACTCCCTCCCTCTCATTTTAAAACAGTGAAGTTTCTCTCTGGATTGAAAAAAATAAATTATCAATAATTTTTTATTTTTTAGTCATTAAATATATATTAAAAATTATAAATTATGTATATTTTTTTAATTTAATGTGATTTTAATCAAATTTAACAGTCAAAAATCCGTCCTTCCGATAAGCCAGCTTATCAAAGAAGATCTCTTAAAACACTACGTTTTTTTTTTTTTTTTTTTGGAAAAAGAAAACTTTGGGAAGTATATAATTGTTTTTCATTTTTATTTTTAACTTTCTTTTTTTGCTTTAATATAACTCATGAAGAATGTTATTAAGTACGGTTGTGTTGAGCAATGTCTATTAATAAAAAATGAGTCTCGTAATATGAGACCTATAAGTGGGATCTACTTTATATAAATGATGATGCTTAATACTTATAGTGTCTTAAAGTATTTTTCTTAACCCATAGCGGTGCACAATTAGTTTTATTTGGACCTTACTCTGGATCTTTTGTTGCATTATTAGGAACGGGGTAAAATAAAGTTGCTATAAGAGTTGCTGTCATGAGTCATTTTGTTGCTGGTACCAAGTCTCTAATTAGAGGTCAACGCCTCTCTCATCACGTAACGTTACAGGTTTACATTTTACAGCCTCTCTAGTAGTTAAATACAATTATGAGTAACTTCTTTATGTTTATGCATTGCAATAATTACAGGCAAAACATGATCATTAAGTTTAGACCAAGTGTAGGTGGGGCTCCGAACTAGGAGGTCATCCACACAGCTAGCTGGAGGAAAATCTACGTGGGTTCTCACTCTTCAGCTTTTTTCCATCATAAACCAGAAAATCTACCGCAGAATCTGTCATTTTTTTAGTTTTGATCGATTTTTATATTTAGTTTATGGATTCAAATTATGTGATTAGAATTATTTTTTATGAGAAAAAATACTATAACGAATCACGAACCATAATTCGAATCAGATAACGAATCTAAGTACTAAACGGACTCTTAATCTATGAGTGTTAATATTAAAATTTTATAGTGTGCTACACATAATTACTTAAATAAAAAATTAAACCGTTAAAAAATTAATTAAGCGGATAAAATAGCAATTCATAACAGTAGTTAAAAAAGACACATTCCTACCATAAAAACTCCTCATAAATAACTGGTTAATATTTAATTAGTAAATATAGATGTTAAGCTAATGATTAATAATAATTCGTTAAATATCCATTTTCAAAAAATAATTCGTTAAATAGCAGGACATATTTCAATTAGCCCGAACGGTTGTGATCTCATGTAGGTCGCATCACCCAATAGTATGGCTCTACTATAGGGACGGTTGATGAGTTCCAATAAAGGGCTTTGCTTTCTGCAGCTGCGATTGAAAATGCAAAGAAATTGAGACACTTTCTGAATCTTCAGAGAGTAGGCTAATCTCATGACTTTGACTAAAATGATGAAACAGCTGTTTTTTTTTTTTTTGTTCAAGTTTAGGAGAAAAATATTTTGCAATGATAAGATCAGATTAAAGGAAAAGAGAACCAAAAAAAAAAAAAATGAAAAAGTTAAGAGTATTGCTTTGAAGGAGTTCCGAAAACAGTGACGTCCTTTGTTCAGTTTTGCTTGAGTTTTCATGGTGTACTTTGTTGGCGTGCGCTGTAAACCACTATATACCACCAAAAGAAAAACACCCTCTATCGCAAATATTTTTGCTTCTGTTCTAGCAAAGCTTTTAATCACTTTCTCTCTCTCCATTCCTCACGCTTTTTTCATTCTCTCTAGCTAGCTTCATTTCTTGGAGAAATAACCTATAAAGATTAAAGAGTAATAACAAGGAAGAAAAACGAAAAGGAAAGAGAAAAGAAAGCAACGCTTCGTTGCAGATGAAGAGGCTCTGTGAACTACACGTACAGTACACTATGCCGCTTTTTCCATGTATTGACACGAAAAGAAAAGTTTTTTTTCTTTTTTTTTTTCTTCTTTTCTTCTGAGGAAATTTAAGGAAATAATATATATATATATATATATCATATATGTATACAAAGTTTCTGATATTATCTGCCGTAATCGATGCTGGACTGTTGCAACATTTATGGTTGAGTGTAAGTGTACAAAGTCCCTCTTTCGTTTTACAAAAAGACCAACTGAGTTGTCCCAGCTTGATGATCTGTTCTCTCTTGGGCAAGTAAATTACGCTGGAAAAAGTGTATACTTCCAAAATATACCAGATCGTAAATACAGTTAATCCCTGGTGATCAGAAAATATAAGAATAAACCCCGAAAACCGATATCAGAATATATGTGTGTGTGTATATATGTGTATATATATATCAACAGTATATTGAGCTAATTCTCCGTGCACGTGCATGCCGAAATCGTCTTTAAATTTTGGCAGTTTCCTCAAAACTGCTAACGTTGAATATTGGACTAAGCGACTAGTAGTACTCTAGTCATCAGTAATGTGTAATTCCTATACGGACAGCTGGTAAGAGAGGAATTAAGGTAATTAATATGACTTGTAACGATTTAGATGTTCAATAAGAAGTATAACTGAATTGTTAGAGCTAATCAACAAGTGACAATTGACAGGCGTGTCTATTATGAAGTTGTTCTTGTTTTCTCGGCGTGGGCTTCTCACGTAGCCCATAATATAAGTGGTAACTAGATGATGCATGGTACTGTGCATCTAGTATTATCACAATGTTGAACCTGTGGCTTGTGTCAGATATGGCAGCAAAATTCGACTTATTATTGTTTTTTTTTTTTTTTAAAGATGGATCACTCTTAAATCTGCAATAATGATTTCGTTGATTTGAGATTTTGTCGTGGGGCATGGTGTGATAAGACTCTCACCTACCTCTCTAAATTTTCATGTGAAATTGATCACCGACGTGGTAAATCTGATTAGTCGTACATTTTCAATTTTGAAAATTCCAAATTAAATTAAATTAATTGACAGCTCAATTTCTATTAAGAAAATTCTTCTCCTTACTTTAGAAACATTAGTTTTATAAATTCTTTTTTACTTGCTCGCGATGTATATTTTTGGTGATATATCTACTATTTAAACACATATACAATTTTTTTTTTACAATAATTCGGGTTATGTACATCTATTATCTATACAGTATACAATATATCATACCATGTTGGCATGTTCTTATATACTCTGTCCATCATCACTGCATCAGACGTTATTTTCATGTCTTGGGGTATGTGTAAGGTGCTCCCGCCTGCGCCAATTCACCCACTTTTTTTTTTTTTTTTAGCTAGAAGCCAATTCATTATTCACCCACTCTCTGAAGCAAAAAAAGTGACTAATCCAGAAGGAAAAAAAAAGGAAAAAAAAAAGGAAAAAGGAAAAATGGAGGGAAAAGAAATAGAAGATTGTCAATCGTCAAGGTCCTTACCAAAACAAAGGAAAAAAAGAATAAAAAAAAGTAAATAATACCAAAATAACACCGAAACTATCTTTTCCGGTGCAATTATTTTCACCTCTCTTACTCTCTGCAACCTATAAACACCCTTTATTCCCGTCTCATTATATAAAGATGATCATGGTCCTTGATCCCACGGCGGAGAATATTCAGCGACTCTTTTTTGGTCTGCACAGCATAGTAAATTATCGAGTGGGACCCAAAGATAGGATGTCCTTGCAGGGAGAGGTACAAACGTCACGTGTCGACTTATTGTGCTGCATGACCCATGATTCACGTTTTGGTGGTCTTACTCCTAAGGCCAATTAGCCCCCAATAAAACAAAACCTTCACACACACACACACACACACACTCTCAGGAAAAGGGAGAAAACCCCACAAAATAAAAACACATTCTTTGAACCTTTGGGTTCTGGTCAGTCCCCTCCCACTCCCACTCTTTCATTTCAGAGAGAGAGAGAGAGAGAGAGAGAGAGAGAGAGGGAGAGATGCCTAAGCTCTCTTTCATCTTCTTCGTCTTCTTAGGCCTATAATGAACTCATGCCAAAACCTCTTCTTCTCAGAAGAAGATGGCTCGTCATCACCAGCAAGACTCAAACTTGGACGCAGCTCTTTACTGCTCAGAAGAAGTGATGAGATTAGCGGACTTTTCCCAAGAAGATCAGGAATATATAGTAGAGGAGATCAGTTATCATAGCTTTAATAATTCATTACACAAACCAAATCCATCTCCAATAATCTTGCTAGAGCAAGACCTTGTCTGGGATGACGAAGAGCTAATCTCTCTGCTCTCTAAAGAGAAGAAAATGATGAACCAAATGTGTGATTATAATATTAAACTTCAAACTAACCCACCTCTCGCCGAGGCTCGCAAAGAAGCCATTGATTGGATGCTTAAAGTCATTGCCCACTACTCTTTCACCGCTCTCACTGCGGTTCTCGCCGTTAATTATCTGGACAGGTTTCTCCTCAGCTTCGAGTTTCAGAGAGAGAAGCCATGGATGACCCACCTCGCTTCTGTGGCTTGTCTCTCTCTTGCTGCCAAAGTGGAAGAGACCGAAGTGCCTCTTCTCTTAGACTTCCAAGTAAGTTCTTCATTATAATTCGTATGAACCTTTTTCTGGATCTGCCTAAAAGTCTTTGAAAATTAATTGAAAAAGAAAAAAATGAATCGTTTTTTGTGTGGTTAGGTGGAAGAGAGTAAGTTCATGTTTGAAGCGAAAACGATTAAGAGAATGGAGCTCCTGGTGCTCTCAACACTCGAATGGAAGATGAACCCAGTTACTCCAATTTCGTTTCTTGATTATATCATTAAGAGGCTTGGCTTAAAAGACCATCTCTGTTGGGAAATTCTCAAGAGATGTGAGAACATTATTCTCTTTCTCATATCAGGTGAGATTTGAGAAGATATTGGAGATTAATTTTTTTGAATATTAATCATAATTATGAACTTATCTCATTCCTGTTCTCAACCATTACACTTTACAATATTGTGCAGATTCAAGATTCATGTCTTTCCTTCCATCTATAGTGGCTACAGCTACAATGTTGCATGTTGTGGATAGCATAGAGCCCTGCCTTCAAGTCGAGTTCCAAAACCAACTTCTGGGTATTCTCGGAATCGACAAGGTCAATATCATTTTGCCACTTTAAATTGTAGTTAATTTTAATCTCCAAGTTTCAATCTTTTTGCCAATTTTTTTCTGATTCGAGACCTGGTTCCTGAAACAGGACAAGGCAGAGGATTGTTGTAAGCTCATCTCGGAATTGGCATCCGCGAACGTTGGCCAATCCAAGAAGCGCAAGTTTGGTGTCGTCGTCGTACCAGGCAGCCCAAACGGCGTCATGGACGTGTCGTTTAGCTCCGACAGCTCGAACGACTCGTGGGCCGTGGCGTCGTCGGTTTCGTCGTCGCCGGAACCTCTGTCCAAGAAGATGAGGGCCCACACAACGAGTGCAGATTTCATCACCATTCCTCGCTAGCTACAACTAGCTTTAGCTCCACTTTCTCCTTTTCCTATGAACCCAACCGGGTTTTTTTTTTCCCTTAATTTTATTTTATTCTTAATAAATATATCATATATTGTATAAGAGTTTTATGTCTTTAGTCAGATTGCCTACCATCTCTGCATTTTTCCAACCTAATTATATGTAATTCGGAGGATCGTATTGGGTTTGGAAAATTGAGAGCAAGAGATGGTTTGCATATCTCTCTTTCTGATCTGACTCTCCGTATAGTACCTTTTCTTACCTGAAAAATACAAAAAGATTTAAAAAATGAAGCCATAATATTTATTTCATCTAGCTTATAATGCCAAGGCAGGGGATAATGATCAAAGGTTTCTTTGCCTATCATTATATATTTATGAGAAAGCATGCAATTTGACATGGCAAACAGTGGCACAGAATCGTACTTTATTTGAAATTCTTTTAGTAAAAGAATCCGCTTTGGTGATACACTTGTTAAATGTAATAATAATAAATATAGATATCCTTTTTTTAAGGATTATTTTCATAAATATTCTTAAATTATATACCTTATTTTAAAATGTCTCTTAAATTTTTAAAATGGCACCTCTTAATCTATAAAAAATAGATAAAATAGCTCCTTCCGTCCACTTTTGGTGGCATACTATTAAACGTGAATTGTTAAACTCTAATTAAATCTATATGTTTAGATATTAAAAAACTGATAAAAAATTATTTTTAGAAAACCTTAAAATCAATTGTCACACACAATCAACCCACCCAAAAACAGCTGCCCTTTGGCCGTACTTTTTCCGTGCGAACGTCGAGCACCAAAGCCCGTGTTCCAAAATGTTGTTCTTTGCCTAAAGTCCCATTGTCAAAAAGCTGTTCCACAAATTCAGAACCAAATTAACAACTATCACAAATCAAATTTGAAAATGTTATTAGGTATTTTGAACTTTCCATTGTCATTCATGAGTAAATTATACAACTCAACCATTGCGTAGACGATTCCCATTTTATCATTCTTGCACAGATATGCATTTATGCCTGTGTTTTAAAATGTTGTTGTTTGCCTCAGAGTCCCAACACTATTTAGAAATGCGGCTATGATGCAACCTCTCTCTAGTGTTAATTTGCAAGCACATGTGGTCGCTGTCCGTGCCACGCCTTCCCCCTCTAGAACAGCCACCTCCAAGCCCGCCAGCCCTTATCACTGTAGTTGCGTCGGGCCAAATTTGTCGCTTCCAGCTCGCCAACGAAGAGAGAAGAGGAAAAAAGAGATAGATTTGGGTTTTGAAATAAATGTTTTCTAATATTTTTATTTTTTATCTTTTTCAAGAGTAATTATTTTTATCTATTTAATTAGAATTTAATTAATTTTTAAGCATGCCATGTGAGCAAATGTTTATTTAATGTCATTAATTAATCTTTAACATGTCAGTCAGTAAAATCTGTTAAAATAAAAGATAAAAGTGGATGGAAGAGGTATTTTGAATGATTTTTTATATATCAAGGGTTTTTTTTAAATTCTTTTGAAAAATCAGGTGACATTTTAAGACATAATACATAATTTATGAAGTATTTATGAAAATAATTTTTTTTAAAAATTTTGGATTGAGAAAAGAAAAGAAAAAAATGAACAGATAAGTGAAAGTGAGTATTATCAGGAGGAGGATCCATTAGAAAGGAGAAAGGGTGTTGTGTTTGCATGTGCCGGGAGAAACAGGTTGTCGGCCACTAGAATTTTTGGGATTCTAATTTCATCATTATTATTTAGAGGGGAATTTTTGACCTCGTTCGAAGAGTTTCCTTTTCTACGACCTTGTGTTTTGAAATTGCGTTCAAGACCAGGTGTCCAGCTGTAATATATCACGTTCGATTATTTAACTAGTAAAAAATTTATCATCTTCTTTTTTGTTAGATCACATAGCTTGTTGTTTTTATGTGACGTAATAATGTGTACGTGGTAACAAATGTGTTGCTTCATATTCTTGATTTTAATGTTTAAAATTTAAATTTTTTATAAGAAAAAAATACTATAACAGAATTAATAATTTAAATTTGAGTATACGAAACAAACAAGCCTTTAATGGGTTAATATTCTGCTTCATTCATTTCAACGGTTTAAATGACAACTCAGGTTTTTACTATAATATTTTTTTTCTCATAATAATAATGTATATGTCGTAACAAATGTAATTGATTCAGGCCTCGTTTATTTTATCGATTCGAGTTTTTAATTTCAGGTTTCTATAATTAAAAGCTCTCAAAAAATGTCACATCTAACTTTTTCTGTTACAGTTAAAAGCTCTCAAAAATATCACATCTCAGCTCGAATTAAAAACTCAAATCCGTAAAACGAACGAGACCAATGTGCCAATACTCTAAATCCCCCTCTTACCCGAGAGAAATAAATAATAATAATAATAATAATAATAATAATAATAAGAATAAGAACTCTACATCCCCCTTTAAGACCACATAATAGTATTGGAAATCTTTTTCTGTGTGTTCCTTACACCTAGACATTCATTTTGTTATCATTATCGAATGTAGGTGATCTTCAACTTCAAGTCACCAAAATTACTTCAGGAGGGTGTCTTGAGGAAGACTAGCAGATCTCATTTTTTTGGTTGGAAATGACTGAAAAACATCATTTGTTTCCACAGATTTTATCCAGCTCACGTTTTTTTTTATTTGTTTTTTGCATTATGTTTGAGCTTTCAATTCCTTTTTAGAGGGTTTATAATCAGGTTATGGTGTTACTTCCTCAATGCCCCGATCTGTTCTAAGTTTTGTGTATTCTATTTTTGTGTTTATAAAAAAAAAAATGATAGTCACAGGGTGAGTTCTAGTTTGGTGGGAGTGAGTTGCACTTGTGGTATTTAAGTGTACAAATTCTCTCACAGGCAATAATTATTTGGATATAATTCACTTATGGATCATAGTGTTACCTCTTTTTGTAGGCCATTGTGATCGATCAGCTCATGGATTTTGTATATTTTGTTATGTGTTTCTATATAAAAATGCTTTCTAAGACCGAAAAAAAAAAAAAAAAAAAAAAAAAAAAAAACCCTTATCAACTGTAGTGTCCCTTTTGAAAGGGAAAAGTCAATAAAAGCTACACATGATGTAAAATTAGACCTTGGTATTAAATATGCCATGTTCATGCCTCCACATTAAGGGAGAAAGTCATTTCTTTGATCAGACAAAGGCCTACCTAGTCAAAGCTTAGACGGTGAAAACACTAGGATATATATATATATATATATATATGTATGTATGTATATAAACCAGAAATTAAGCTCAAGTCTTCGATGTCCTATGCCTTTTGGGAAATGAAATATTGTTCCTTTCCAATCGAAGCTTGACAAAACTAGAGATGAATTAGTTAGGTTATTGAGATATTTTTAAATTTTGTGCATGGTTGTTTAAGTTCGGGTTTTTATGATTCTTATTTGCATCTCCGATCAATGAGTTAAATCATATGCGTATTAATTGACGGGTTCATTTAAATATCCAATCTGTCTTTTTGCTCGTTCAATATTGGGGCCACCATGCATTCATAACTTCAAATTTTAGTTAAAGAATTGCCTAACATTTTAATTTTTTTTTTATATGGCCTAGAGGATCTCACTTCATAGTCTTTGATATAGAAAATGACAACCACAAAATGGACCGCATGTGCTTTCTACCATTTCTTTTATTCCTATTTTATTGATTTCTTTATTCTCTCCTCTATTGAACAACAGAAGCTCTTTAGATTTCTTACTGAAATTATGATTCCTGTTTGGTTTACTTGCTGAGCATTGAATGATATAGAAGCGTTTAATTTTGTTGTACCGTGAATGTCGGAGTACTGCGAAGTAAGCTTATTTGGATGCATATTGATATGCTTGACCTTGACCATATTATAAAGATATACATATATATATATATATATACCTTCCTCGTGAGAATTCGGTAAGGATTCAATGATGCAAATTTACTAAAGCACATAAGGTTTATAAATGTAAAGAGTAATGTTAGAGCATTAACTCAAATTTTAATTTTTGTGTATCAACTAATCGTTGAAATTTGAGTAACTGTCTTTAGCATTATTCTAATGTAAATATGTGATTCTTATACACATTCTCAAATATTGTCGCACAAGTGTAAAAGAAAACGTGGCGATGAAAATAAGTTAAAATGAAAAAAAAAAAAAAAACAGAGAATCCAAATATAAAGTATAGAATTTAGACGCATTATCAAAATAAAGGAGGCATAAGAGAAGATTAGAAAGGATTTTGGATACAAATTAGATCCACCAAAGACGTACCTAGAAAAGGGAAAATAATGAAAGGTGAAAGGCGGGGAACGAGCGTTGAAATTGGGGGACAGTATCTTTTGATTTTGTTTGAGATGTCTTTGTTGCTCCTCTTTGTTCTTTGCTTTTGGAAGTTTGGCGCATACTAGACTGTAGCGTACCCAAAAAGAAAAAGGGAAAAAAAAGAAGACAATGATACCGTAGGGATTGTTGATGAGTATATAAGCCAACATCTTCTCTTCTTTTATGGACAGTGCTCTCTTTAAGCTCCCCTTTTGACCTATTGAGCTTCTTGTTATTTTCCAGCATTTAACATTGAATAAGGCAGCTTGGTCCGTGCGGTGATATAAATTATAAGCACATTGTATTGTCAACAAAACCCAATCATCTTTCCATTAAGACTCTAGTTTTTTTTTTTGTGTGTGTGTGTGGTCTATTCCCATTAAGATTCTACTTAATCAAACATATTGCATGTTTTATAGAAAATTTCTCAAGTAAATCTAAACACCCATATTTACTTCTATTGGGAATTTCTATTTCCTTTAAGTTCATTTCATAGGCCATGCGCTTTCCCTCTGGTCCACTATTTGACCATCTATCATGGTCCAAAATTTCATAGGGATTTTTTAGTCTAGTTGTAAGTTGTAACCAGATGCTATTCTATATAATTTGGAAAACCAAAGCTAAATTTAGAGGGGATATTAGAAATCTTACCCTCAAAAAATCCTACAGCAATGAGCAAGTCCAAAAATACAAGTATAAAAAAATGCATGTCCTTTTAGTAAGTTGTTAAAAGTTGTTCATAATTCACATAATAATCATATGAGGGTGCATATTAGGCACTCAATGTTACTGCCCATTTGCCTTTCCCTTTTTCTTGTTATTATTATTTTGTTATAAAAGCATACGGTAAATAAATCTACAAACAAATTGGGACCTGAAAAATATATATGGAAATCATTGGGAATTAGAAGAGAGGGCCAAAGAGTTATTCGGCTATT